ACTTTCAAGCCTGCAGTTATAATTTTTCCAAGAGTCAGTTACCACGCCTTTTTCCCCGACTTTATCCCAAAGCCACGCATGCGCATGGGTTTATCAATGATTTTCTCTCAATTGGAATTTTCATGCGTAATTGATTTTTATGCATTTCCCCTTGCAATCACAATCCCCAAGATTGTTTATTTATTTATATGCAAAGCGTACTTAACACGTTTTTCTTCTCTTCCCTTGCTTCTCTCGATTTTTGTGATTTATTTGTAACTTGGAATTGGGTCACTTGAGAGTCGAAAGGGGCAATAACTTGAAGCAACACATAATCGAATCCACGGGGAATGGGTTTCTGGTTTTCGGGCTAAGGTAATTTATGCTTCAGACGGGGATTTCACAGATTAAAATGGGACTCTTAAGTCAGATTACTTTTCTTTAAAGCAGTTGCTTTTAATTCGTTTTTGATAGTTGGCGAACGTTTATGGATACCTTGGGTATTTTTTATGAATAATTTGTTTATTATTGATGATATTCATAGAACAAATTAATAATTTTAAGTGGTAATTAAATTCCCTAGTTATAAGGAAAATAAACCGAAAATAAGCGATAAGTTTTTTACAAATAAGGATTCGGTTTTAAAAAATGTTCACAATTGTTTGCTCATTTTTAAGCAGAACAATGTTTTCACTATAATAATGCTTATACAGATAACTCTGTGGTAATACGCTATTTAAGGGAATTACTAAACATTATTTGCTTGAGTAACGACTAGAGTCAATAAATAGAATAGAATTTGCCTATGGGCTTGCGTCATTTACATTATCCACTTGTTATCAAACAAGTTCCAAAGACCCTTAACCAATTCCGTTCTCTAATGCCCTCATCGGTCCTATATCTCACTTAATTGTTTACAATTTCAATTAGATGTTGGTCATAAATTATGGCGGCTAATCCCGATCGCGACACCTTACAAGCATCCGCATTTTCACACACCTGAAATGCTAATGACACACCATCCGAAACCGAAACCGAAACCCAAACCACTCCGACAATTTGTTTTGATTTTGGCCGTGAACTGAGTAGCATATCGGAATAATTCAAGTTTGTCTTTTGTTTTTACTTCGGCAAGCATATCTATTTCTATTGCTATTCAAATCCGAGAGATACAAACAGAAACAAATGACATAATTGAGGTATTTGAGTGGAACTAACCTTGGCAGTGGGCATTAGTTGTGCATTAACTTTCATGTTGGAATCGAGATCAGGTCGTTGGCTGGTTAGTTCTCGATAGGTCTGCTCTATGGTGCAGATATTTGGGTTATCCAAAGGGGTTTTAATTGTTTTTCTGGGGTTATCTCTCAAAGATAAACGACGCACGCTTCCAAGACGAAAGGTTCCTCTACCATCACTGGAACCACTCGATTTGGTTCGATTTCGACTTGATTTATGGACGTTGCGCGGGACCTTATCGTTACGAGTTTCCCTGGAGTTCTGCTGCTCTTCGTGGGTAATACTCAATGTTGTTTTCTTGCACCACAAGCCGCTCAAACGATTGCCCATGCTATACGGTTTTCACATCAACTTTCCGCGGGTGTTCAGCACGATCTAACGTTCGAGCAATCAATCTCGTCTATTTACAAAGATTCTCGGGGTCCGGGAGAATGCTCAGATACTCGGATATAATCGTACAGAATGAGAATCGGAGACGAACCGGTGCGCATCTCAATTCGACAAATACTGAAAATGGAATTCTTGCCGAAAACCACAAAATGCCAGACCCAAAACACAGTTGTCCGTCCGTTTATAAGTAGCTTTTGTACCCCTCTCTTGCTTTTCCCCCATGTGTTTCTGTGTTTGCTGCTTTTTGGGAGCTTTATAATGCGAACAAACCGCGAGTTGACTTTGTTTGTATTTCGACTGGCACTACATGGATGGGCCCCTCGGTCCCCAAACGTTGGGCCTCCCTTCGGGCCTCGCTACTAATCGATTTTTTCTCTCCACAACTCTCGCTGCGACTCTCTCTCCGGGAAGATTCCCCGGCAAACCCCAACTAATTAATATGCTCGGGAGCTGTCATACACCCAACTTCATATAATATTAACAACAATCTTCTGCGACTCACGTTCTTTGTGTGTTTGCGCTGAAGAGCTTGTCAAATAGTTAAGAACGGTGGGGAGAAAGAAATTAATTGATCTACAGTTGGGAAATGGCCATGGGAATACCCTAAAAGATCGGTAGGGGAATTAAATAATTTGGAAGAATAATATTAAAGAACGATTGTAAAACGATTGTACCCACGGTAATTTAAATTAATTGTCGGTTACTGATTTTAAATTTTTACAAAAAAAAACAAGACCATATTCTCAAACTAATTAACAAATCAATTAAACAAGCAATCTCATTATTATTAACATGACAATAAATAGAGATCATAAAAATTAAAAGGTATAAATCAAACCTTTGCTAATAAAAATAAGAAACTTGTTATTTTTTATTTACTAAGTTTTCATTGATAAATTAAACACTTAATATAAAACGTTTATTAGGTACCTGCTATCAAAACATTCAAGTCAACTGGTCATCTTATCAGCCAAGTATAATGCTCTCCAATATATGGGTCATCGGTTATATTCTTAATTAAAAGGTTGTTGCCTCATCTAATCATTCGATCACTAAACACAAATAGTTCTTTGTTCTCCCTTGATTACAACTACGATTACTCGAACTAATCAGTTTCTGCCCTCAAAGGTGATACATTTAGAAACAAATCCAATGAGAAAATCCATATACCCAGGGAAAGGGCATTCGCAAACGAGAAATTTGCTTAACGACGCACGAGCCATGCTAAAAATCAACGCCAGAATGCCGATTATTCATAGCCGGTATATCCATCCATCCAATAGTTTGGATTTAGCGCTATATACTGTGCGGGCTCGTTTGCCTCTTTCTTTAACCCTCCCCTATCCCTTCACTTCTGTTTTGAAAACGTGCTAAATGTTATTTATTAATTAAGTTGACGCTATTTTCTACCTATTTACGTAAAGAATAGAGAGAGGGAGAGAGTTACTGCGGGTCTGAGCCGGTTTTAGGAAAGTCGCCGAGTCAGGGAGTGGTTCAGACCCCAATCCCCATGAGAGACCCAATCCAGAAAGAGTCGCGTGTGAGGTGTGAGTTATGTATTTGCTTAAATATGGTACTGTAAAGCTCAGCGCGGTTCGCGTTTGGTCTGGAAAGGTGCACTCAAAAAAAAAATACCTTAACTTAAAAATCAATTATTCGTGATTAATAAAAAAAGTTTTAATTTGTTATTTTGCTATAAAACTACGATAGTAAAATGTTATTATAATAAATTACTCTGCACTAAGGACAGTTCCTTTTTTTATGTGTATGCAAAACTATAATCAAAATGGGCCTAAAAAGTGGCGCAGGGGGTTGTAAAAGGTAACGAATGAGGGACAACAAAAGCTTGAGTGAGAGTTTATGGACACCATAAAGCCAGAGAAGAGCTTAAAGTGAGTCATGACCTTTGCGCGCTCTGCTTATTTATAAATAGCCATAAGCAATTATTACGAGTGAGAATTTATAAAGTCAGAAGGGCCTACTAAAGTCTCAGCAGTGAGGACCTGGTTATACCCTTTATCGTTATTTTATAAATATTTGTTTTCTATTTATATTTATAATCCATAAATATATAAAAATCTACTTACATTTCCGTAACTTCTGATGCTCGAAGGACTTAGGCTAAATAATCTGCCCAGCTGGTGGTGATGTGTTGGTGATCCATTGCTGTTAGCCGATGATAAGTCGGTGAACATGGGCGAATGGGAGTGTTCTATTGGAAACACAATAACCATTAGGTATAAATATTTTGTAAGTAAAATGGATAATTTGAAGTTCTTTTTTACAAAGATTATTGAACTTTGCAATCAATTTGTTAGTAAAATTATTTTTCAATTAAGGACTGTAATTTACACCATTTTTTTGTTTAATAAAGCAAAATGATTTTAAAATAAACAATTGTTTTGTTCCAAAGAAATGTTCAATAAAGATGTCCTAATACTCACCACTCATAACAGGCGACATGTCCTTGGGAAAGGCGAACAGATCGTTGTTGTTCCTGATGTCTGATGAATTCAAGGTCAAGCTGGGCTTTACGCACGCCCAGAAAATTGGATGCTGACGAGGCGCTGGAACAACCACTACCGCCGTAGCCACCCAACCTGCTGTGGGCGGTGGTGGGCGTGACATTGGGCAGATGGTGAGATTCCAGTGGCGAAGCGGACTTCGGTATTCCAGTGTTGCAACTGCTGACCGCTGGAATGCGCTTCAAAATCGGTGCCGGTGGCAATTGCGAGGGGGAGGGGCGGAAGAGCCCCGCACTCGGTTGGTGGTTCAGTGGGTCACCCTGTGATTTCGGAATCGCCAATCGAAGAGTTTGCCGCGCAGCTAGTCTTCTTCCAGGCGCGTATTTATTTCCAGTTTCCGCAGTCGGCGCCGACTGCGACTGCGGCAGCGGCATCGGCAGAGGCGTTTTCTCAGTGTGGTGAGCATGCGCAGTTTGATTCATAATTCGCTGTTACTCTCACTTGCCTCTGTTGAAAATGCTCTCTTTGCTGTTGTTTCTCCCACTATCACTGTTAACTGTTAACAGCCGCTGTTACTCTCACTACTGTTAATTTTCTCACTTTTGTTATTGCTCTCTTGCACTTTTGTTTTCTTTTTGTTTTTGTTTTCGTTTGTTTTACGTTTTTTGAATTTTTTTAATTTTAAAATATTTGCTGTTATTTATTGATTTATTAAAATATTTATTTAAAAAACTATTGGAACTATTTGAGTTTTAGATATTTTATTTTTAAAGCCTTTTGGGAAGTAAATTGTTGAATTTAGTTTATTAAATGTTTCGTAAAAATTTATTTATGGTTGAATTTTTGTTAAAATGTTTTATGGTATCTTTTAAGTTTTATTAAAATTGCAGTGGCTTATGAAATCCTTACGTTTTTATTTTTGTTTGTTTGTTATTGACTTTCCGGCTCTTTAAACGTTTTTGTTCATATTTAACTCTTCTTAAGGCACTTGTTAATTTATAGCCCTTGTTGTCAACGCTTTTTATCAATGAATTGCGCGTTGATATTGTTGTTGTGGTTGTGCATTCAGGCGAACTGCACTGATTGCATAATTATATATGCACAAGCGTGAGCAAACAAAGTAAAAAACCTAAGCAGTATAATAAATTAAGTTACAATTGTTGTAGTTGTTGATATTACAGTTTCTTGGAACGTGCCAATGTTGGTTTTTTTTTCCCACTTTTGCTTTTGACCCACTTGCAGCCAATACCGTAAATGAAATTAACCAGAATTATTTCTTAGTTATTACAAAAATCCACACCGAGGATTCGATTGTTATTTTTTACAGGTATACAGGTATGCCTGTTGTTTCACACACTTTTTCCGTTGATTTTAAAAATCGGTTAGACAAAGCATTTTCATTTTCCACTGCTGAACTTGAGAATTGCTACGTGGTCGCCGGGCAAAATGTGAAATCTCCGACAATGAGAAATCTCCGTCCAATTTTCGTGACTTTGCGTGGGACAGCGACCATAAAAGCCACACGCCATTTAATTCTCGGGTTAATCTGTAATAAATATATACACACATATGGGCATCAGTATATGGATATAGCGAAATTCGTTTTAGTTAAATTACTTGGAAACGTGAATGAATCTTAGGCTTTATTTGTCTAGAGCATTGTGGGTTGAAAGATCGTCGGAATTGAGATTGCCCTTGAACTCGGCAAAGAGAACGTGAGAATTAATAGAGGAAAGCACAGATTACATAATGATCTACAATGGATAATTAAGTCGTTGAAAGAAAAATTCATAGAACAAATGCCAATTAAAATATAGTTATCATATTCAAAGTAATCAAAGGATTTATTAAATAGTTTTCCCAGTCTACACAATATCACTTGAACTTTAAACCACTAAATTAGATCTCGTGAAACACATTTTTCCCTGCAATTCATAGACAGTTTTATCAATTACTGAATCGTTAGCCCATATGGTTGTTAAACCCCAACTGACAACTAATTAGCAACAATGTCAGATGGAGTGCACACACATTGATTGATTGCCAACCGATTGGCACGAAATAATAAAGAGCTTCTCAGGGGTTGACAACAATTAGTGGGCCTTAAAGATTTAAACTCCAAAGTCAGAGTCGCAGAGCGATTTGCATATGACAGGGAGATACTGGAAAACCAACAGACAGTCAGATTGAACAAATCCAAAATTCGAATCGTGAAAAGCCGTTGGCCTCTGGTTTGCCTTAAAGAGCTGCTGCGAATTTCTTGCATATTTGCACACGGATTTACAATAAATTGCAATTATGCAAATTGAGCGAGTCGAATGTTTTGGAGCCGTAGCTCTCCAAACGGCTCAAAGATGCCAGACATTAATCATGACCCAGCAATTAGCAATTATTTATATTGACGGGGCGTGTCAATATCTGGGCAATGATAAATGATTTTGGCTATTTTTTTTGTTACAAAACACCAGCCCTGGCGAAAAGCACTCGTACTTGCTATCGATTAAATTCGATGCCATTAATCGCAGGGTCAAGTTCACCACTTAGTTGGCCATGCGTTTTTATTGTCGAGAGGAAAAAATAGAGTTACTTCATTATAATTGCAAGCATGGATGTTCAGGATAAATCTTTGAAGAAGGAGTCGTTTAACTCACTTGATCGGAAGCCCGATAGTGAGCACAAGCCGAAGACAATCGCACCTTTGCTGAAACCTGTGGCACACGGTATCTCCTCCGGATTCGGGTTCAAGTGGTATTTGATCAACGTAAACTGCAGTCGTCCTCGGAAGAGGCGATACTACTTGAACCTCAATCGCTATCCCAACCAAATGCCCACCGTCGTGTCGAACACGTTGCACTTCCTCAACTTTCCGAACTTCAAAACCATCTTCGTGCTGACCACGCCGAAGACCTTCGCGACATATCGTTTCTTTTTCTCGATGACTTCCATTGTACAAGTGGTTTCTTTGAAAGCGAAACCAAGCCGAAAAAAATTAAAACCCAAGCCTCTGACGAATCAAAAAGAAGCGATTAAATAAACGAATCAAGAAAAAAGGTGAGAGCTGACCTGTTAAACCTTAAATTGTGCAAATATATTTATTTAACTTCTTCTTAGGAATTTTTCTTCTGAGATTGACTGACTGAAACTGGACATTACTTTCATTTCAAGATAACACGAATAAAAAAAGTAGGCTTTTACTTTTAAGCAATCACCAATTTATCAATTTAATAAAAATGAAAGATGTCTTTCAAATGAATACACTAACGAATTCAACGAATTAACAGAAGAGGATAAGAAAAAGTGCAAGGATATCTTCGAGAGAACTCTTCCTCCCAAACAGCAAGACAATAAGTACGTCAAGTTTACAAAGGAAATACTTAAAAAATCCCAAATGAATCTCAGAAAAAGCCATGCTTTCTGACATTCCGTACGATTTCTTTGCATATCAACTATAGTGTTGTAATCTTTAGTATAAAAGGCACCGGGTTACTTGAAATTTGATCTTTCAACTTGTGAGGGCACTGATCATTATCTATGACCGCTAAAGCTGCCAGGCCATCGAACTAAAATGTATATTTACACGACTGCCTAGTATAAACATACGATTTATTGGGCAACGCACAAAATTTGTTTTGATTTTTTTTGCCTTCTTTCTGTGGCCTTCGCTTCCAACGACATTTTGACAGAACAGTGATTCAAGTCAGGATGGCCGAGTGGTCTAAGGCGCTACGTTCAGGTCGTAGTCTACTCTGTAGGCGTGGGTTCGAATCCCACTTCTGACAAGACTTTTTTCTTTTTTTTTAATAATAAATGATAAATTTCTCCCAATTTTTATAATTTAGAAAAGCACTAAGTCTTAAAAAAATCGCATTCCAAATTAGTTATAATTATCTGGTTAAGATTTTTGTTTCTTTTTTAATTGCTTGCTTAATTTTTGATTAATTGTAAAAAAAAATTTAATTTATATAATTAAGGAAAAACGCTCAGAAATAATTATAATTGCCTCAGAGCATTTTCTCGTTCTCGTTACTTTTATAGTCAGGATGGCCGAGTGGTCTAAGGCGCTACGTTCAGGTCGTAGTCTACTCTGTAGGCGTGGGTTCGAATCCCACTTCTGACAAGACTTTTTTTACCTTTTTTTAAATTACAAATTAGTAATTTCAATAGCAATTTTTATAATTTAGAAAAACACTAAGTCTTAAAAAATCGCATTCAAAATTAGGTAGTTATAATTATCTGGTGGACATTTTGGTTTCCTTTTTAATTTCTTGCTTAATTTCTGCTGAATTGTAAGAAAAATTTAATTTATATAATTAAGAAAAAACGCCAGAAATAATTAGAATTGCCTCTGACCATTTTCTCGTTCTCGTTACTTTTATAGTCAGGATGGCCGAGTGGTCTAAGGCGCTACGTTCAGGTCGTAGTCTACTCTGTAGGCGTGGGTTCGAATCCCACTTCTGACAAGACTTTTTATTATTTTTAAAGAATTCAAAATTCTAGTCTAATATATAGATGTGGGTTTGCATTCCCTAGGAATCGATTTGTTTATTTATCTTCATTTATAGCGAGTACATATATTTCTGCGTTTATTATTGCTGGCTTTTATTGTGTTTTATCGGAGGGTGGGTTGGTGAAGCCCCTTAAATCACACACAAGTAATTTCTCACGCCATGCTGACAATTGGTCTTCAATAAAAAGTTCAAACGACTATCTTGTTGTTGTACTGGTACTGTGCTTTATTCACATGATATTGGGTAATCGAAGGGGGCATTAAAGTGCATTAGGCGTGCCGCAAAACGGCTTATCACAGCCTGAACATGACTGCGCTGCAAAGTCATTCATCAAACGTTTGACCGTGAGGGAATGGTTTGTTTGGGCATTAATGGAGCGGACCCATCTACATGTTTGTGGCCAGAGGAATCCCCCCCAAGTCCAGATAAACACTCGAAACTGCCCTGATAACTAACCACTAACCCGTCCAGACCTTGTACGACAAATGAATTTGTTGACGCAGTGGGTTTCGCGATATTCTCTGCATTCGCTTACAGTTAATATAAAAAAACCGCAGAACTGACCCAGCCAAATGGCATTGAGCCCCTGCCCTGGAAATCAAAATCGAAATCAGAATCCAATCCAACTGTGTCAGCTTCAACTTGCTTTGTTTACAAACAAATAAGGCAAAGAGAAATGCAAGCTTAACTTTACTTTGCTTAATAAATGGTGTCAGTTTTATATTTCCCTCGGCCAATTCGCAATGCCCCCACCTTTCTTCAGTGCCGTCATATCTGTGTGTATAATTTTTCCGCACTTTAATGGTTTTTTGATGCATTCTAAATGAATAAAAATTGCGTGCGCAATTGTTGCTCGACTTGAGCGGTGCCGCTGACCCATTTCGATGATTATAAATGAGTATAACTTATCAAGCGAGACTTGCCTTGGAACTAAACTGGGTTTAGCTGTCTGTTTCCCCGCCTTTTCCGCTGCACCACCACTTCGATTGCACTATAATTTGTTTATTTTAACTATATCGGCAAGGGAAAGGCAACAAGTTCAATGGCAAAAATAATTTCCCGCCCCTTGTCAAAACATTTTTCGATTTGATTTCAAATTTTTCGTTTCGGTTTGGTTATTTTCCTGCGATAAACAAATAATTAGCGGAAAAATGCGCAAATGCAAATTACGTCCATTCGCGAACTCAGACAGATGTATATGGCCATATCTATCTGTACAATATGCGTATGAAGATGTCGGCATCGAGTCAAAGGAAAGGCATAAACAATGCCCCGCCATTCTTTGCCTGCAAATGTATCTTTCCGAGCAGTGTCAAAATCTAATTTGAATTTTTCCACTACGAACAGTGCGCGGCGGCGGAAAAACTGTCGTCGAGTGCTGGCCAAACTCATTAAAATATCCATTTCCCCGACGAAAACGCGGACTCTCGCTGCGAACAGCTTCGAGCAGTCATAATAAATAATACAAAATATTAAAAGACAACAAAAGACGGCCGCCGCTTAATGAGAAGGGTTCGGTCGTTTTTTTTTTACTCGGTTCCGTTCCCAAGGCGTGGGCCACGCCCCCTTGAACCGGATTATTATTAGCCAGTTGGTCTTTTTGCCTCGAATATCGAGGAATGCTACGGGTCTTGACCTCTTTTCCAGTTACGCTTTTTGGGAAATCCGCAGAGATATAGATATTCTGAAAGGCCTTGTTTTCTTTTGTTCGTTGCCAGCGATTGTCTGCGATTTCTACGCCTGCCCAACCCCGAAACCCAGAGATAAGATATATCTGTATGAAACCGACTTTGTAAACAGTTTGTCGGCATTTGTACAAAGTGCAGCGGCAAAGCAGCTGATCGAATCGATTTAATTTGCAATTATTCCGTCACAAAATTGCACAGTTCTTGTTATTCAACTCACAATTAGCTTTGTAATGCCAGCAAATTAACGTCCACAAATATTAGCCACGAATACAAGCAAATAGTTAATAGATTTCAATGTCCCACGGTTTTATTTATCGTAAGAAAGTTGGTTGATTTGCATAAAAACTCGGGCAGTCTGGCTGATTTATGGCAGTTTTCTATAAACCACTTTTTATAGCAGAACGAACGACTGCGAGAGCGAGCGAAGTGGAAAACGCGCATTTGGTATGCTCATCCCATGTGTCAGGATGGCCGAGTGGTCTAAGGCGCTGCGTTCAGGTCGCAGTCTACTCTGTAGGCGTGGGTTCGAATCCCACTTCTGACAAGACTTTTTTTCTTTTTTTTTTTAAATTATAAGTTAATGACTAGTTCTTGTTCAATACTTCCTAATTTTTATAATTAAGAAAATCTTAAAAAAGAAAAACCATTTATAAGTATCTCGTTATACTGGAGAAATCGTTTCCTTTTTCATATCTTGCTCATAATTAAGGGAAAACGCTCGAAATAATTAGAATTGCCTCAGACCATTTTCTCGTTCTCGTTACTTTCACAGTCAGGATGGCCGAGTGGTCTAAGGCGCTACGTTCAGGTCGTAGTCTACTCTGTAGGCGTGGGTTCGAATCCCACTTCTGACAAGACTTTTTTTTACTTTTTATTTTTATCTGTCCAATCAAATTGTTTATTTATTCTCGTTATTTTGGTCAGTTTTTAGTTTGCCCCCGCCAAGAATAACAATTCGATTGTGTAAATCCAAATAAATATGCGCGTGTGTCGGTGGGCTGCCTAAGGCGTAAACAAAAACATGTGCAAAAGGCCAAAACTTCAATCAAGTGAAATGGAAATTGAAAATGTATAATGGAAAAACATGTGGGAATACGCAAATCAAATTGTTTGGCCAAGAGAGAAAGAACGCAGGCGGCAGGTCATGCGGATGGAACATATGTATGCTTCCCGGAATTGCCAAAATTCCGCACTTGCGGCTCCATTGGGGCTCGTTGTTTTCAGACTATGTGGGTGTCGTCTGTTTAGTTTTTCGGGAAAACTAATTCGATTTTAATAAACTTGTTGCTTGGATTTAATTGCAGCCGTTCCTCCGCATGGTAGGTGATAACTCATGGCGCCTTCGCCGTCTGTGTTTAACGTTTAAATTACTTGTTGTTTCACTCTTTTGTGGGTAATTTATTCGGCTGCCCTTTCATTGATTGACTTGACTTTTATGTGGATTTTTATAGGCGTTGCATTGACGTGTGTAGGGGCAGAAAAGCCGAAAAAATCCCCAAAATGTATACAGTTTCGGAGTTTATGACTCTGCAGAAATACGACTTTATGTTCACTCAGTCACATACAAACACAGAGTTGTAAGTGCACAGAAAACATTTTATTTTAGATTTCTTTGAAAAAATTAAGTTTTTACAGAAATTTTCTAATGAAAAAAGTAACTTAACTTGACTTGTCAAGAAATAAACAATGTATACAATCTACCCACTTAATCAAGAAGTGGATTTTAAAAATAAAATGTGATGCTTCAAAAATGTTGCTTGAAAGTCTTAATTTATGTCTGTAAAATTGTAAACCAGAATGACTAATTTCCTACGTATTTTTGGTTGGCAAACGTGGGATATTCCATTTCTAGCAAATTGGGAAACCAAAAAAATATATCAAATACGTCAAAGGCGTTTTTAGATATACGCAAAGGCGTACTTTAAAAGGAATTAAAATAATCATTTGGATGCGGAAGGGCATTTATTTTAAGAAAATTTGGTGTGAGAAATACCCTATTCTTAGAAAACTAAAATTGTACAATTTCTTAACATTAATCTATGCAAACGAGTCTTAAACAAGATTCATAAAAATTAAACAATATTTCACAGTGCATTGGTAATATGAAATATGCAACTTACAGTGTATGAGATTTATGCGCTATTTAACTACTTTTCTCGGGATATTCGTTGGCTTTTCTTGATAAACAACGGAAGCTGTGGATTTTGGTTAATCGTTGGAGGAGATTGTCGAGTTTCTTAAATATTTTGGGAATTTCGCTTTCTCAAAATTCCTGCAAGTCAATCAACCCGTCATTTTATGCTGTTGATATTTCATTTTTAGCTTTTTCGCTTCTTCGGCTTTTTGCCTTTTGTTGCTGCTGTTCTTGTTGTTGTTATTGCTTTTATTTATAGACGCACACATGGAAGCGCAGCCAAAATAAAAGCGCACGCATTAAACACACACACACACATGTCACAGATTTGTATATTTCGTAATTGCACGTTGCCGGTAGGTTTTTTTTCTTAAAAAATCATCCTTACACTACTAAACACATTTTATAGCACGATTTTCGTTTTATTTATTATAATCCGCAGCAAGAATTATGAAAACAAAGAGACACACACAGCGATCTTTTGCCGCCTTTAAAACGCGCGATGTTTACTGCGACGCTGCCGCCAGCTGAATGCAGGCGGAATCGAATCGAGTAAAATAAGCTTAAGATCGTGAGCAGCGACCGTTTTCGTAAAAGCTCTCAGAGAAACACAGAAAAAAGGGAGAGAAGCTGAGAAAAAGAAAAATAAGTTGTTCGTGCCTTAATTTGTTAATTTTGTAAGCGTGGGCGTGCTCTCTCCCTCTCTACACACACACTGCCTTATTTTTAACCGCTGCACGTGCAATGCAAAACCTAAAAAATAAATAACAAAGCAGTTGCATAAAATTATGCATCCGTTAAGACCAACAGATTTTAAAAATCACAAAAAAGTAACGTAATTTTATAATTAAATAAAAAATAATAAAATAAAAAGAAAATTTTTAAATATTTAAATTTTAAAACTTTTGAATTTTAATTTTTGTTTTGGTATACCTGCAATAAAAACAATCTCTTTAAAATTAAAAAATGATATTTTTAGAACTTGCTTTTGTACTATAATTTTTTTAGCTGTGCTTTAAAAGTTAAAAATAAAATACATAAGTGTTTTCTTCATTTCAGTGTGTTGTTTCCCCATAATTGTTTAAGAACCACAAATTGCATCTTTAATTAAGTGTGTTTAAGACTGGCACTGGGAACCGGCTTTTTTGTGCAACTTGTTTCAGGTGCTTTCTTTGCCTCCAACTCCTCTCCCTGCTCCGTATGCAAATATATCTCTCCTCCCATAACGTATACGCCCCCACAATAATTTGTTTTATTGCGGTCGTAAAAAAACTAAGAAACAAAATGCGAAAAATACAGAAATATGTTTTCGCTTGAGCCGCCAAAAAGCGAGACAATGAAACCTGTTAATTAACTTTGTACAAATTTGGCAGAAAAGTGTCGCGACAAAATAGCCACAATTGATTAATGCTTCGCAGAGTCTTGGGTTTGTTTAGACCATTTATTTTCATATTTTTGGCGTCTTCTGTCTGTTTTGACTTTGAACTTGAAAAGGAGCATTGACTTGGCTCGACGGAGTTGGATCAATCGAACACTAATTGAAATATTGTGGGGAGTTTTTGTTGGGGATTCGGATATTAATTGAAGTGAAATGAAAAGTGGGATGGGCGAGACGGAGGTAAATCATCAAGTTTGTTAATAATATTTCATTTTAAATGATTCCTTTTAGATAGCAGTATTATTTTCGTAATTAATCATAAATAAATAAAATCATTAAAAAGTTAATAGTATTTTTAAAAGCAATAACTCGCTATCGTAAAAGTTTAAATTCAAATTTGATCAGATAAATGTAAATTAAAATGCAAAGCCCCCATTTTAATATGAATGCAATTATATAAAAGAACCCAATAAATCAAAGCCACCATAAACGTATGTCGTTTGGCTGTCCTCCGCTGTGGAATAGCCATATATCACTTGGTATCAGAGTTAAATAATTTAAACAGTTTTCCCCGCCCACAAACTCCGGCCACTTCACAGAATCAAGACAGATTAAATCTTTCAGAACTAGACAATATCTTCATTAGATGATTTGCTCTATGGAGCACATATAAAGACGGCCTCAAGGTAATCGGGGTGTTAGCTTAATCCAAACTCCATTTGCATCGGCTTAAAGGTGAAAACTCATTCAATGCCTCGTTTTAACCTTTGTGCGGCTGTGCTAACAACTCTGCTGACATATCATGGGGCTTTTGGCCGGGAGGGGATTTTCCATTGTTGACCCACTTAGCTCCCCAGAACTCAGAATTGTTATGGTAATTTACAACCTCCAGTTAAATATTTCAGCTGCACCCAACTGTTGCAGCCCGCTGGGCTGCGCTTATTTATACTTGTATTGTGATCGAGTTGACAGTAGCAAAAATTTTGATTGATGACGCTTGATTGACATTCGGGCAATTTGCTAATTCTATTTCGAGTCGCCACAAGAAAATGTGTCGCCTTTAGTGGGTCACTGTGCTTTTCCGAGCAATTCTTGTGCTCTGCGATCATTAATCATAATGAGTCGAGTGCAATTGAGGTGCTCTTAGAAGTTTAGCAGTGGCTGCGGAGTGGCTAACAAGTAAATTAATGGGGAATTATGCATGGACATTCGATGGGTGGCTGTTGGGAGCGCAAACTTTAATTAACTTGGGCTGTCAGGTCGAGTCGGCCGATTAACATACGCTCGGGCCTATCAAGTGTCTGCCATCAGTCTGTAAAAATGGAAAATATCCAGTACGGCCACTCAAAGTCAAAGTGGAGCGGCTGTGCGGCTGCGACTGCAACTGCAACTAATTGAAATGCATTGAAAGTGCGTGCGACCAGTAACTGCTGCTGCTGCTGCAAATAAAAAATAAAATAAAGCAGCCACTACAGCTGCGTGTGAAATGTCAAGCGGTCCGCACTTTGGGCTAGTTGACATTTTGCCAGCTTGGCTAACCGAAAAACTACAACTTAATTACTCCCGTTTTGATCGCCAGCTCCCCCTCAACAACCTTTTCGATGAATATCGGCGTTTTGCCGACTGCCATTTGTTGGCCAACAAATCGAAACATATAGAAAAAGTGACACTTGCCAATCTGCACGGTGTGATGTATGACGTTGACCTGATTTCGCCCGCTTTTTATTATCATTTCCATCGGCTGCATGTTGATTTCGTGTCTTGTCGGCCCGTACACACCTTTCCATGACGCGACGAGCGGCAATTTGTCTTTGCCTCTGGGCCGACGATTATAATAATTCATCGAAGGTGCATTCGAGTGTGGGCAGCAAGTTCAAAGTGTTAAGTGTGATTTTCAAACATGTGTAATACACGGCGTATGCTTAATGCCGCCGCAGCACAATGCCAGCGAATCGGATTGGTCTTCTGACACCCCAACGGCAACTGTCAGGATGGCCGAGTGGTCTAAGGCGCTACGTTCAGGTCGTAGTCTACTCTGTAGGCGTGGGTTCGAATCCCACTTCTGACAAGACTTTTTTTTGGTCGTTTTTTTTTTATTTAAAAAAAATAATTTAAATAAGTATCCTGCAAATTATTTTTTTGATCAGAAAATTTTGAAATATATTAGATTGTCAAGAGTGCTATAAGAACCATTTATGTGTCTATTACTTGTTGGTCCACACATTTCTTCTAAAAATCATAATTATTTATATCCATTTTTTATATTTACTTTCCAGAGCATTGTTGTTAGTTTACTTAATTTATAAAATTGAAAAGTTCTTAAGAACATACTCGCCCTCGATGAAACTGGGAATTGGCACTCGTTAGTTTAACAGTCAGGATGGCCGAGTGGTCTAAGGCGCTACGTTCAGGTCGTAGTCTACTCTGTAGGCGTGGGTTCGAATCCCACTTCTGACATAATTTTTTTTACTGTAAATTTTTTTTTATGAAGTTTCATGAGTGTGAACAAATCTTATTAATACACATTTTACACTTTGTCGTGGTTTTGTGTACTTCTGTTCCTCAAAAGAAAACTAATCCAAGGCCTATGTGACTTTCAAACTTAAGAAGACATTAAATATTTGGAAAACAAATTATTTAAATCTTAAAATTATTTTCAAAATTTTAATATGATACTCTCTTGTTTATAAATCAAATATTATCAAAATAATTGCGTTTTTATCATACTGTTATCTTAAGATTCTATGCCCAATGAGCCTTATTACATAGTTCAGATTTTATTGATATTTGCTATTAGAGTTATCCTAGATCTATTTTTTTTTCTCATAACTTTAATTTATGTACTATATCGAGGATGCACTGTAACCACATTTGCTCCCCAAGCAAAATGAAATTTGGCCACTCGGTTCTCGAGAGTCAGGATGGCCGAGTGGTCTAAGGCGCTACGTTCAGGTCGTAGTCTACTCTGTAGGCGTGGGTTCGAATCCCACTTCTGACAAAGATTTTTTTGTTTTGCTTCAATCACGAAAACGATCTATTTTAAAGGCCCCACAATGATGTCCGTTTGTTCGGAGCATCCATTAACAAGTTTTTACGAGTGAATTTGCTCCTCAGGGGCGCCATAAAAATTACAAGTAAATCAATTTGTAACCGCCTAATTGTCAATATTCCAATCACATAATCGGCTGCCAGTTAACGATTGCCCCCGGCTGTCGGGCAGACAGATATAGAAAGACCACACAGGCGATGAAGCCTGGCCCCATGGGAATTATCGCCGTCTGGCATCGCCGGCACACACTTCTACTTCACCAGCTATACTCGCGACTCATTCAGCTCAATCAGACAGAAATTAAAATGCTGACTGAGCGCGTTCTCGAATGCGGCCCACTCAGTTCGTGTTTTCACAATTGTTCTTGGGAAAACAGATCGGGCCCATCTGTAATTATGCTGCTGTCGGTCGTAAAACGCAATCAACTGGCCACGACAATTGACAATTTGGCTGGCTAAAATAAAAAGCGCTGTAAAACCAGCCGTTAAAATTTTATTCGCCTTAGCACTTGGAAAATTGAGGCTGGCCTGGCCATAACAGGCGAATGGGTCAATTGGCATGTGACAGCGAGAAGCTGCAATTTTCCACAGACAATGCAAATTGACGTCTCTCGGAAAATATGAGTGATGTGACAAGTGGATGCTTATCTGCGGCTCGACGCCCCTGTTTTTTCCGAGGGGCTTTCCTCCTTCGGCTGATGAGTGCCCATTGAAATTTATGACTTCGTCGAACCGCCAATTGATTGGCTTTTAAATATCCAAATGAAGGCTGCCAGTCGCAAATTGTAAAGCCGTAATTAATGTACAAAAATCGTTTGAACGCACGCCCCAATCCAACACCTGCGGCTCTTGGTATCTTTATTTATGGAAAAGCTTTTAACACTTTTAATTAATTATGGTATGGAAAACTTGGCGGCCCAGCAATGCCTCAAATTTATGGCACTCAATGCTGATAAGCGCAAATGCTATCTAAATGCTAATTTCTTGAAGAACATTTGAAGCTCATAAGCCAAGTGGAATGTTTATTTGAATTAAATTGGTTGCTCAAGTTTATGGGGTTGACCTGCATAAAAAATTAAAAACCAAAACCTAAATATTTGTTTTTACATCGTCTATTTATAAGGCTGTATTAACATTTAAATTTTTAATCATTATTTAATCTTTATGTTCTTAGACCGAACAAAGGCTGGAAAGGATCTTGGGATATAAATACATATTTTTTAATAATGACTAAATTACAATATAATAATTTAACAAATTTATAACTCACATTCTTGGGGCTTACTGTGCTCCACTGAAAGCTCAGCCTGTCCCCAAAGGGGCATAGCTTTTCCGGGGAAGATCTCACAAAGCTCGCGAAAGTTGGAGAGACCTTTCGGAGACGTTCTCCAAACCGAGCTTCGAGTGCCTTCGCGTGACGCGACGCAGGCGGAGCTTTCGACAGTCGGCGCCCACGAGTGACGTAGCTCAGTAAAGAATTATAGAATGCAGAACGTAATAGTAATAGGAGTCGGTAATTAGCAGATTAGGAGGCCTTATTCAAGAAAGGGTCTTAAGTCGATCGATTTAATCAGCGCCAATTGAATCCAAAGTCCCGCGACTAAGAGCTTCCTTCCAGCATTCTTTTTTAAAAAGCCTATAATAGTAATAACAAGAAGGGTTATTCAACCCACAACTGCCGGTCGGAGCTAAGGAGACATCAAAGAACCACAGGTGACAGTGACAGGTGAGTTCATTATTTACCCAAGTATTTACCTTTGATAAGCCAAAGTAACTAGGGAAGCAAATGTTTAATTTCATGGCATTTTGTAAAATGTAAGACCACGCGGGACCGTAATGCAAGCTCCAGTTATCCAAACAGCTTTTTCGAGGCCTGTGCATCTAATTGGAGCTTTAATACTTGCAGCAAAATATAGCTTTTACTCAAATGAGCGAAAGCTATTGAATTTTTTTTTTAATTTTCGTTAATTTTAATTAAAATAAGTATGTATATGAAGGAGGTAGTAGGCCTCGAGTCCTTTCAAAAAAATATTGACAGTAAATGTGCCAAAAAGAAGGTCAAAAGTAATTAAATTTAGGGTGTAATCTTAAATCTTTTGCTTAAAAATAAACGGGACCAGATTTTTAAAATTTGAATACGTTTCCTCCATCTGTAGCATGACCTCTCTACGGATTTGCCAGGCCGTTTCGCTGAATCCCAGTGCCCTTGGGCCGGAATCCGTACCAACGCAGTCCTCCTCCAGGATCTGCCTAATGGGCTGCCAGGGTGTGAAGCCCAATGAATTGCGTCGTTTTCCAGTGCACGATGCCGATCGGTGAGTGCTTTATTCCCCCCAAACAAACACTTGAAACCTGTTTTTCCGAAGCCTATCAAGAGCTTTTCGATCGATTCAAAGCGTAGCTTATTGCGAATCAGAAGTGCTCATTCTTTATTTTCAGCAAAAAAAAAATAACACCACCCATACCAATAAAATCCGAAGCTTTGGCCTCCGCTCAGTGCTTCCTCTGATACCGATACTCCCAGTCAAAGGTCATTGAACTCTCTCTCGCGACGCCTCGCATAGAAGTGCATCATTTTCATAGGAAAATTTCAATGCCATGGCGGCTGGAATTGCACTGCAGAAATCTGAAATGCAATAATGCCGATGTGGGCGGGGTAGTGGGTGGGCGGGGTTGTGCTGGTCCCCGATTCAGACTCCCATTTATTTATAGCTCCCGCGCTCTCCTGTAAATGCAGCCACAAATGCGCGTGGGGCTCTGCTCTGCTGGCCGTGAAGTTCTTTTATTTTTCTTAGCTTCTTCTCTGCCTCTACTTCTGCAGTTGGTGCGCAAAAAAAATAAGGTTCCGTCTGCCAAAGTTACTTGGCATTGGCCATGGAGTTTAGAGTGGGCCAGTGGAGTACTGTATCTTCAGAAAATAGTAATGCATAATTTTGTGGCCTCCTACACATTTCGTAGGCGATTAGAAAATCCCCATGACTCTACAGATTAGGTTTATTTATTATCAATAAAAGCTTTTCTCTTACCTTTAACCAGTATTATCTGTAAATGTACTTTGAAGCCAAAAAGTCAAAGTCACTTTCACACCCCAAAGCTAAATTAAGCTTTGCTATTTTTGAGAAGAAAAAAAATTCAAAGAATGTTCTCAACTTTCGTCAAGTTGTGTTTTGATAAGGTGTTATCTAATTGTCATTGATGAGTTCCATATTTTTTCTGCCTCAAGTGCTCAGTCATTCACATTTATTTTTGGACCGTTATAAAATTTGGTACATTTTGCAAAATTAGAAGTGGTTATAACCCTGAAAAAAAGGTAATATTATTAAACAATTTTATTGATGGGTGTTAATTTCACAATTGTGTGGTAATAACTTTTTGGTCTACTTGAGATATGGAGCTAATAGAAATTCGAATTAATATCTATACAAAAATTTTGATAAAGTCACAAAAATGGTGCAGTTTCTAAGTCAGGAATCCTGACCTGCACAATAATTTCCAAACAGGGTCCACCCTGAACGCCCGTGTTGTTGCTGTTTCGCCTAGCCATAAACATAAAGCAAAAGCAAAACTTCTTCCACAAAAGGCAGCAACAAAAAAAAGGGGAAGTTGTGCAGAAGCTGCAACAAAAGCAACAAAACAATAACAATTCCCGGCGAAACTTCCGCTGAGCGAGAAAGAGCGAACGAAAGCGCAGCCCTCCCTCTCGTTCCCACTTGCAAAAGAAGCATAAAAAGAGCTTTTCATTGCAACTAAACTTTTTTAGGAACTTTTCCCAGAGAGAAAAACTCTCTTTTTAAAGAGCGGAGAGCGAAAGTCGGATCTAATTTAAAAGCGCCGCAAGAACAAGAACGAAACTCCAATGCAGTTTCATCTTTTTCAGTTTAATCATTAAACAAAGAACCGCGCAGCCGATCGCAACTTGCCCCCGTCGTCTCGTTTTTTCACCGATAATTGGTTGGCTTTTTTTTTGTCTTGAGTGGAAAGCTTTTCTCCCAGAAGAGTACTAACTTGAGCTTTCGGTGGTTAGTAATAGTAGTGAATAAATTGCAATTATTTCGTTGCAGCTGCAATCATTGGCTGCGCCACTTCGGAGTCAGCGATAAACTGGTAGATCAACTCGGCGGCCTCCAAAAGCTGCGCATCTGTTTCAGGCATTTCAGCCAACGCCAGGAGATGGCCAAAACCCGCATCAAGATGACGCCGCTGCGCAAGTCCTCGGCCTCCAAGGGCACAGTAATGTCCAGCAATGGAGGGACCGTCATAAGCAGGAGGTGGGACAGGAGCAGGGAGCGGAGCTGTCAAGTCGGCGGTGGCCAGCACAACCATTGAACTTGTGAAGGTGAGTAACGGAAGAGGAAGGCAAAAGTTTAGCTTTCATAGGGGTTGGTAATTGAACATTCATGACCCTAACTCAGCTCAGAAAACAAAGTAATTTTAGACTTCAAATTACTAATAACTGTACCCATATACTAAGAAATTATTGCATTATTGAAGGAAAGGGAGTTATATGATAGTCGAACTGAATAATTAAACACAGAAAGCCAATATTTCATTACTATTAAAAATATATCGATATTTTAATTATTTGTTTTAATAAACATACATAATCATTTTCGATGTTCTGAAGATTTATAAGCAATAGTCATCGCCAAATCATTCCAGTATTTAATGCCTTATCGAATAAAATAAAACCTTTTCTTAAAAAAAATAAAATTCAGTTATATTTAAATGTTACAATTTAATCAAGACACAGTCGATTGAATTGTTTAAATAAATTTAAAAGAGCTTTTAATGCATATGTTAATAGTAATATCTAATTAACCTTATTTTCTTGTAGAGCCCCACCAGACATCTGGAGAAGACCAACCAGGCCAAGAAGCCCATTAGCAACAGTATGCCCTTGCCCCAGCGTTCCCACTCCATCAGCTCATCGGCCTCTAGCGACGTACAGTCCATAAACTCCGACTCCGACTCGATACCACTATCAGCCTTAGAAGAGTCCCAGAACGGACTAAGCCGTTTGGAGAACGGTCAAACCAAGAAGAGGAAGCTCTACTTGATCACCGAGAAATCAGATGAGACCAAGGGCCATACACCGGAGATCAATGGACAACAGAAAAAGCGCAAGATGTTCGTGGTTGTGGAGCAGGATAAAGAAGCAACTGGCAAAAAACTGATGATTATGACCGACAAGCCGCAGGCCAATCTCACCCAGCACTTGGAGAAACTACTGCCTGAGATATTGAATCGCATTCAGGTCAAGGAACAGAAGCAAATCAATCCAACTCCGTTGGTGGTGAAATCCAAGCCAGTGATTAATAACACTAGGCCACACATAACATTGCCGCCCAAGAAGAATCCCACTAACTTTGTCAAGGTCACGCCCACTCCAAGTCCAGTACCTTCGCCCATCCCGATGCCAATTCCAATTCCGAGTACCAAAATCGTAAACACCGAGAACTTGGAAGAGAAAATGAATTCAGAGGACATAGAGACGAACATAAACTTATCGCCCGATTTCCGGTTTCTTATGAAAATCCTTCCTAAATTGGAACAACTGCCCGAGCCACATAAGCAGAACGTCAAGCGTTCCATACAGATCTTCGTGGAGAAAAGTTACAGTATCTACGGCAATAAGAATTAGTTACCAGTATTTTAACGCCGATATAATTTCCATTTCATGTGAAAAAGTTCCCTTTGTTTTCGAAAGAATCGTACATATGAAAAGCATTTCATTACATTGTCTAAGACTGAAGCAGAAACCAATTTAATTTGTAAGCCAAGCTGAAGCAGCTCCCCCTTTAGATGTGTAAGACAATCCAAAATTCGATATTACCCCTGGAGGATATGGGTACATTTTGAAAGAGTTAAGCCATAAAACGAATTACCAATAATGAAACCTTTTCTACATATATTGAATATATGAAAGCTTGATTTAAGCGAAAGAATAAAAATGTCTTGTTTTTGGGAAGTAAGGGAATATTATTATGGAATACCACAGCCCATTTAAAATACCTCTGGTTTTTTTCGTATCTTTTGGTTTTTTTTTGCATTGTAATTCCAAAGAACTTTATTTAGTTTGAAAGCATTTTTTTACGGTTTTGTCTTCCATATTCTTTCTTTTCCAGTTACGTTATAATAATATTTAGTAAGTCTAATGCGGGTTTATTTAGTGTGGTTTAGTTTAGTTAATACAATGGTTAGTGTGTCTTAACGATTTCCATGTAAATTATGCAAAGTTCTGGGTCTCACTTTCTTTTCGTCCTGGAGAAAGGATTGCATTTGGTAATTTACAAATCTTGCAGCCTCGTTCACCTCTACACAAGTAAGTTTGCGGGCTTAGTTTCGTTTCAGTTAGTATCTGGTTAATGTGGTTAATACATTAATACATTACATATATACATTTAAACAGTTAATGTTTAATTTAGCTTGCGGGTCGAGGAAACCAAATTGTGTGTAAAGTATTAGGGAACTTTGTTGCGTGCTTTTACTGGATGAGGATTTCTACATGAGTGGAGAGATTCCATTTCGAGTGCTACAATTATAATCGCGTAATATACTTTTTACAACATTTAGCAAATTTTCCGTACACATATACTCGTATCATAGTTTTGGTTAAGCATCTGCCATCAATTTTCAGTGGTTATAGGGTTTTTATATACCTTTATATCGTGTTTGTTAACTACGTTTTGGTGTGACCTACAATTAGCGTTTGCCTTATTTTTGTCGGTTAGCGTATCAAGTGTTTTTTTTACATGATGTTTATAAGAAAAAATATTTGCCTTTAGATTCCCCTACGAAACAGTTATGTCATTATCATCAATGAGAAGCAATCACAAAGTTTTCTCTAAATTTATGTGCGACGATTATTTATCATTTTATTTAGTATTTACACAATTTTCTCGAAGTGCAAAAAGCAGCCATTTTTTGCTGGCAAGTGTAAGCAACTACATTTACTGTGATGTTGAAGATTTTTCGTTCTTTATTTGCATTTACACATCGAGTTGGTTAATCATCGGTTAGTAGTGGGTTCGGGTTAAAAAAAACTGTGTCACAATTTCTACAAACAGCCTTTTGTTAAACTTGTTAAACGTACAATTATATGGTTATATTTATTTTATGCGAATAATATAATTATTTCGTATATGTAGGAGTGATTTTAATTTTTACATTTTATAACCTGAGCGCAATCATTTATATGGTTTAATCTACCAATCTTGACCAATTGTAGATTCAAAAGACTCCTCGTAGATTCTCACCAATTTTATAAGTTATTCCCATACATATTCGGTTAATGTTCAAAGGGTTAAATATACGTGGGCATCCCCAGATGTTCCATTTCAATGGAAAGCTGTCTCTTTACCTGTTATCTAATACAAACTTGAAGAATTGTGTGGTGTGTTTTAGTCTCAAATATTGTCCATACATATACATACACATATCGTATATAGTAGGTGCTAGATGTCGGGGTTTCACTGTATTACATAGCTATAAATTCTAATTAGCAAATGCATTGGGTTGGGTTGGATCCACTTCAAGTAATGCGACAAATGAAACAAAATTGATTCGTTTTCTTCTTTTTTTGTTTTGTTCTTATTTTTTTTATACAAACAGTTTACACAATTTTTTGTTTTATTCTCAGTTAACGTAAATTAATGCGTAATACGTATCTAATATATATAGTTAAGAATGATCCATAAATCGGTTTACAGTTCAAATACTTATGCAGTTTACAGTTACAGTTGATCTTAACTTATGAACTCATTTCGAACGGGAGGTTTGGTCGACGCAAGTCGATCTCTTCCAAATCATACATCCTATATAGGCATATTTTGAGTGTGAATTATTTTATATATTAGTTCAGACCTGCTCCAATTGAGGGTTGTGCTATGTGTGTAGTATAATGTACATGTCCATTACTTATCGTACTCGTACTCGTATTACCTCATAGCTAACCGTCTTACTGAGCTAGAGAGAGATGTGGGCTAATTATTGGTGGGGGTGTGGAGATAATGTTATGTACACGGTGCCTAAACCGAACGAAAACTAACTATCCGTATGCGTAGCTATATTTATATATGTACCTCTATGTGAAGTATGTGCTTAGACATATAAATGATGTTGATGCTGATGTAGATGTCAATTGAACTTGCATTCGAGCGTTTCTCTGTGTCGGTCTCTGGTCAAATGAGGGGAAAACAATCAGTAATCTCTAATCTGTACTCTATATATTTACGGTTAAGAAAAACTTTAGTTATAAACAAAAGTTGAAAAGAAATTCTACTTTTTTGCACACTGATTTCCTTTGCTTTCTTTTCTTTCATTTCGTTTTGTTTTTGCTATGAGATCTCCGTGAAAGTTTTGAATTCATATTTGTTTTTTGTTTTGTTTTCGTTTGTTTTTAAGCTAATCCATACATGTATATATATCGGTTAATATATATAATGCTATAATTAATAACTACATACATAAGAAAGCAGCACAGTTAAGAGAATTGAAGAAGAGGAAAGTTTAGTTTAGCTTCAGTTTCTTTTTCAGTTTTCATTTCTTCGAGAGCGTCTACTACGTCGTTTTTTTTTCGATTAAATATTCATGCTTTTTTTTTTAGCTCTAAACATTGAAGACAAAAGACATTCAAAATACACATATACGGTATACATTTTTAATTTCGTTTAAGTGCTTAGGCTACATCAAATTAATTTTGACTCTTTCGTGTAAAAGAATTGTGAACTTTATATTGCATATCCTCAATCAATCAATCGTCGTCGTCAAATGAGAAAACTCAGTCTTAAACATATATAATGTTCTGGGCAGCCGGGGCCTTAGCAATTGATCCTCTATAACCGATCCTGTCCTGCACCTTTGCTATAGCCTATAGCGATGAGCATTGAGAGAGACAGAGGTGTAGTTAGTCGAAAATTAAACTATATTACATGGTAATCAACTAAAAGCAAAGTATACATATCAACTAAAATCGAATTGATCCGGGCGGTGCCTTTGGACTACAGAGGTGAATGGGAATCGACCTCCCCGTTCAATTGGGCTCAATCCGCCCGAACCATTCACTGGGGGCAGTGCGTCGTCCACTTGTTGGTTTTTCCTTTGTTTATTTGTTAGTTTACATTTATGAAAAATATGTTTAAAAAGCTTAACAAACTATTATCAAAGCGAAAATTGTCATAACTAAATTAGGTTGAAATAGTTAAATTTATGTTTATATTAATTTATATTGTAATTTTTGTTCAGTCGACAGTTGAAACTTTGAACTAATTTCATCAAACATTTATCTTTTTTCCTAATATTGAGTTAGGGCTGACCGCGTTTTTTGGGTCACATACATTAAGAGTACATATCTAGAAACCAGTTTCAAAATTGAAGCTTCAAACGTTTTTGTGTAAATGAAAATATTAGCATAATTTCAAATAAATTTGTTTTTGTTTAGCGTTTAGTACACATTTAGCTGCTGCTACACATCGTTTTGTTATATATTTTTCGTAAGCATACAGAAAATGAAATTATCCTTTTTGCGGATGAAAAGGTTTATCGCTTGAGGTAAATTTTGGCAAACAAATTTTGGATTTGTGTGCTTTTCGTTACTATTTTATTTTAAATATATATATCGATATATTTAAGAGTTAAGCATATTTGTATATAATGAATACGATGTCTGTGTGTGTTGCTAATTAATTTACATATACATAGATTTCTTAGGAGCTTAACATAAAACATTTCTGTGTCGTTTTCCTTTTAATTTGAATTTTCGATTAATTCTTCCAATTCTTGTCAAGCACAACAAAATGTCTGCTTTGTTGCCAAAAAAACTAATATTATTTAATAACTACGCTTTGCTTTTAGTGCGTCGAATATGCTGCTGCTGCTTTTTTCTCTCTCTCTCTCTTAATAATTTTTGTATTATTTTCCTTCACTTTAAACTTGCTGGTTTTGTGTCGCTGCTGCTGCTGCTTTAACTACAGTTTTGTTGTTTAGACTAGTTTCAGTTGAGTTACGTTACATATTTGTTTGTCTATAGTATATTAAATATTTCTTTGTTTTCTTTTAGTTAATTTCGGTGGTGGAATGCTTTAACTTTCAAACAGACAAACGCCCACTTAAAAGCCGTTTGGCGCTTAAAAATTATTCAATCGTTGTTCCTGGCTGAGTTATCTCTGGGTTGGGTTGGGTTTTCGAGGGTGTTTTGGACTGGGGATCGACTCCTGCCCTCCTTTTTCTCGGCGGCGAGGGTCTATCGTTTGGCTGTGTTGCTTTTGTTTCGATTTTAGGCAGCAATCGCCTCATTTTGCCGTCATTCCCATTGATGAGGCGAGGGCGGCAGCTCCGAGGGATGTGCCACGGTCGAACTAAATTCCAAGTGGGGGAAAAATGATAAAATAAAAAAATATTAATACCGAATCTTAATAGTTGGGTTTTAGATGAACATCTAGATTAGTTATTTCATGCCATGTACAACGAAAACATTTAAAGCTTTAATTAAAGACAAAATACAATCAAATACCGAAATAGCTCCCATTTAAAACAATCTTAAAACAAAACATGAAATGAAAATGTACAAAGTAGAACTACATAAAGAGTTTTGGGTTGGAGAGGGGCTTAAAATTCAAAGTAAAAGTTTTGGTTTGTTAATCATAATAATCAAAAGTCATTGAGTGGTAGTTGTTCAAGCGTTCAAATCTACTTCAGTTCTTTCTTTGTCACTGCTGCTCAGCTGCACTGCAAATTGTACAAATGTTATTTTGCATGATTTTCTGTGCAGACTTGAATTTATTTAAACTTATCCAAGCATATGAATGGTATTTTTGGAGGCTTGTGTGCTAAACCTGCATAGATTAGGCATTTTTGTATGGTTATGCAGGACAATGACTGAGCTAATGATTGGCTGATCGGTGCATGAGTTATTT